ATGTGTTTTCATCACATTTCTAACAACAGTGTATAAGATAAACTTTCTCCAAATAGTGGTTAATTTATTTAAGAGGTTGATTTTGTCAATTCAGTTGTGTATTTTAAGAGTTGTCCCATATTGAAAATAAAATTTTTGCCTTACTAGTTCAAATATTTTGACCTCTCTCAAGTTATTTATTGATTTTAGGTTGAATGTTCACGTTCTAATAGTGTGTAGTCATTGGAATTTGACGATTTAACGGATTTTAATTTTGTAAACCCTAATTACTGCGAGGCAATTCTTCAATTTGCAGTACCTAGTTTTGAACATTCCATTCCATGGTCATCATGTCAAATATCACGGGCGATGTGTGTATGCACATATGTTAGACTAAAACAAAACTAGGTGAAGTAGAGTACATGAATGGAAACAAGAACTAATTTTTGTAGGATGGCTTGAATATTAATACAAATATCTTAATTTTGGTTGAGTAGAGAATAAGAAGTTCATAGCAGAGTACGATTCGAAGGACCAAAGAAAAGTAAGGGAAATAATTACTAAAGAGAGAAAGGGAGAAAAAAAAAAAGTTAGAGCAGTAGTAGCAAGAAGAATCAACTTTTATTTTGGTGAATTTGAAATCGTACAGACTAGACGGACAGACTTAGAGAGAGAGAGAGAGAGAGAGAGAGAGAGAGAGTATCAAGTCCAAGCAAAGGCTCTTAGCACATGACCCTCTTCTGTCAGACGCCTTGATTCCTTCTCCAACACCCACAGCCAAAGACCAGTAGAGAGAGAGAGAGAGAGAGAGAGAGAATACTTATTTTTAGCTTTTGTTCATTTGCCTTTGTTCTTTGCAAGAAGTTACCATCCCTCTTATCCCCTCTTTGCTTTATTTTCTCTTCCTCTCTCTCTCTCTCTCTCTCTCTCTCTCTCTCTCTCTCTCTCTTAAATCTCTTCCAGCAAAAAGCACTTTATTCCCTTGAACTCACCTTAAAAAGAAGACGATCCCACCTCGATCCTCCTTGTTTTCAGAAACCAACACCCCCTCACTTTATTTCTATATCTATCTCTCTCTCTCTCTCTCTCTCTCTCTCTCTCTCTTTCTCTCTAACCTTGTTTTGAAAAACTTCTCCATCCTATCTAGAGTTTCTTAGAAAGAGCCAAAGACCTTCTTTTGCTCTTGTTTGTTCCCGCATAACCCCTGTTCTTGTTTTTGCTTGAGCATCGACATTTTCTTATAAAAACAGTAGTGAGTTTTCTGAGGAAGTTACAATATTTAAGTCAAATGGCATCGTCGCCTTCAGAGCTGAGCCTGGACTGCAAGCCCCATAGTTACTCCATGCTCCTCAAATCCTTTGGGGATCTGCAGGCGTCTCACCTCCACGACCAGCCTCAGACTCAGAAGCTTGAAGAATTCCTCTCCCGCCTCGAAGAAGAACGTCTCAAGATCGACGCTTTCAAGCGCGAACTCCCTCTTTCCATGCAACTCCTCACCACTGGTATGCATGCACCTAGATAGCTTTCCACCATCGTACTAGGTCAAGATTCATGTTCTTCTAACTTCCTTCAAGTTTTAATTAATTTTTTAGGTCCAGCTCCCATTCCCGACCCTTTTTCTTTATCCCTTTTTATTTATAGAAGGGAGAGCTATCTCAAAGTAGCCACTCACATACATATGAATATCCAACATATTTTCTAAAGAACTAAAGCAACCACAATTCGGAAAATAATAATACTAGAGATTTAATTTTTTTTCTTTGTTTTTCTTTTTAAAGCTGTGGAGGCTTCAAGGCAGCAGCTACAGGCGTACAGAACAAACAATATCCAAGGCCAAACCAGGCCAGTGCTTGAAGAATTCATACCCCTTAAACATTCAACCTCTGAAGGCTCAGAAAAACCTACCAACCCTACTTCTGATAAGGCAAACTGGATGACCTCCGCCCAACTCTGGAGTCAAGCAACTGATCATAACCCTAGTGCAACGTCCAAAACTCAATCAACTATAACATCTGGCCCGAAAGAAGCCGATATCGGCTTCAGCGTCAGCCCCAAGCTAGGGTTAGACACCAAGCAACCTAGGTCCTACGGTGGAGGAGCATTCCTTCCGTTTTCCAAAGACCGCAGCCCTACTTTGCGGCCTCTTCCGGAACTAGCTCTTGCCTCTCCGGAGAACAAGGCAGAGATTATCTTGGAGGACCATCATGAGAATGGAAATAATAATTCATCATCAGCTGCTGGGAACTGTAATGAACAAGGTAAATTATTAGGAGCTGGTGGAATTAATAATAACTCGGAGGGACAAAATGGACAAACAACTACAGCCGCCGCGGCCGCTCAAACCCATAGAAAGGCAAGGAGGTGTTGGTCTCCGGACTTACACCGTAGATTCGTCAATGCCCTTCAAATGCTTGGTGGTTCCCAAGGTAACCTAACCCTAGCTACGTCCTAATTAATAGCTCTCAATCGTTATTTATTTGTTACGATGATTAATTTTTGCTTGTTTTTTATTGCTATTACTATTTGTTGTGATTTCTGGTCAATTTCAATCTTATTTACATATGTTTTGTTTGTTATGGTCAAATTTGCAGTGGCGACCCCGAAACAGATCAGAGAGCTGATGAAGGTTGACGGTTTGACCAATGATGAAGTTAAAAGCCATTTGCAGGTACAATATATATGGGTCCATGGCTTGCTCTTTTTCTGATCCATGCAGGCACGAAAAACCTATGCCTACCCTTTGCTTCCTTACCCTTTGTCCTATTTACAAGTATATTGTCTATTGTTCTCCTGAACTTGTATTACGTTGTTGATTTTTTTATTTTATTTAGGCAAATTTTGCTATGAACTATTACAAACAACCAGTTTCCCCCCTTCAGTCATATTTTATGACATTTCATATAACTTTTTGTTATAAATCTCAAGAAATAAAAAGTAACAAATGATTATAATTAGAAGAAAAAATAACACTTAATGATGATGTTTGTTTTTCTTAAAAAAAATGGTGACTTTTCTGAATAAAAATTAGATGGGAAGTGCATAAACATGACTATAGAGGGAAATTGGCCATTTATAATAACTTAGAAAGAAAACTTAATTTAAATAAAAGTTTTAATTAAGGAGAAATCGACTATGAAGTACTAGTTTAGAAAGAAATCCGCAAAATACTCATATTTTAAACATATCCTTTTTTTTTTCTCTTTTCTCTTTCTTAATTGTTAATTTTGTTATATTATTGTGAAAATTACAGAAGTACAGGCTCCACACAAGACGACCGAGCCCAAGCCCCCAAGCAGGCGGAGGACCAGCGCCACAGCTGGTAGTCCTAGGCGGCATCTGGGTGCCGCAGGAGTACGCTACTGCAACCCACAACGGTCCCACGGCTCTTTACAGCCCGCACCCGGGCTCCCATGCACCAACGCACTATTGCGCCACCCCAATGCCACAAGATTTCTACGCCACGCAGCAGCACCAGCAGCAGCTGCACCACCACACTCTCCAACACCAGCTCCACGTGTACAGGACGTCGACCGCCTCCCACACCCAGAGCTCCCCCGAGTCTGATGGCCGAGGAGCCGGGGACAGGTCAGAGAGCATCGAAGACGGCAAGTCGGAGAGCAGCAGCTGGAAGGGTACTGAGAGCGGTGATCATGTCCATATGAACGGCGGAGATCAGAGAAACGGAGGAGTGTTGGCTGCTCGGAGATCGGAAGACGGCGGGGACAGTAACGGAAGTCAGATCACGCTCAAGTTCTGACCTTTTGATGATTAATTTTCATAGGGTGAATAGGAGACAGATTAGGCTACCCATATGTATGTTCTATGCGCTAATTATGTTTAATCTAATATTTGTCCATTATTTATGATGTGATATGTACCCATCGGGTTAGAATTAGAGGAGAAGATTTTCAGTGTATCGGAACACAGAGTCGTACGTTACGATCCTGTGTTCCGGAGATACGAAAAATCTCTCAGACAGTAGAAAGGGGTAAAAAGGTCATAACGGGAAAACTGAGTGTGTTATTTTCCCCTTTTCCTTTTTCTTTTGTAGATTGGATTCTATTTGAAGGAATAATTCACATCTATTTCCATTCAGATTTTTTTAATATTCATACGCATGAATTATAGAGACAAGGAGGTCCTTGAATTAATAATTAAAAATATTGAAGTATATGGTAAAAATTTAGTGACATGAACTTGTAATACCTCTTAATTATATCTTGAACGGCAAAGGTATATTTCGTCACCTTCTTCGACTAAACTCGCCTGACACATGGCAGCATCAAACAACGACTGTCACTGTTCCAGCAAGCAAGATAACAACGATTACGACGGTGTACCCGCTGACGCATCTCTTTTTTGTTCGTTCTCCACATAAATTTTTAAAAATTTCCCCCAATCATCAAATTGTTCACATTTTTTGTGACTTTTACCTATAGGAAAATTGACAAATTTAACTGTAAAAGACAGATTCGCACATTTTAAAAATACTTAGGATTCAAAACATATGAACAACAAACATTTTCCCATTAAATGGGGTCGGCTAGGGTTCAAAACATAATGCAATAAAAAATACATGGGCAATGTAGGAAACTTGTTGGTTGAACTCACTTAAACCATGTATCGTGGTGTTGTTACCCAGAAAGAAACTAAAAAGAGGAAGCACCGAAAGTGTGCGTGTGTGTGTGTTTTACTGCCTGACTAAGACTTCTTTCCACCCTGATGATCTCTCTCAAAGGCATTCACAAAAAACACACAACAGCCACTTTATGGCTCACCCTTTTTCTTTCTGTTCCTTTGCTTTATACAGTTCTGAGGAAGAAGGTTATTACATTTTACGTTTGCACAATCTTTCCATCTTCGGCGATAAAAGATGCATATTCGACACCCCAACAAAAATTCGATAATGAACCGCTTTCGTGGAGCTAGATAAATATCAGCAGATAAGACCTGTCCTGAATCACACACATGCAATTCTAACCCAAAAGAGTTCCACTTCTTAGGAATGAAGAAGCAATGAGTTAATAAAGCGTTAAAGTGAAAATGCATATCACAAGACGAGAGTGTTGTACCAACACGAGACAAACCACCAGCTTAATCGGGAAACATGATGTAGGATATATGTCTCAGATACAATCAGCTGAATCTCTACTTACTTTTAAGTAAATATCTACAGATGCTTCATAATCTCCCACCCAAAAAAGGGGGCAATAAATATACTTTGTTACATGTTACTCTTCTTCCAGATTTCATCACGATGTACATCATGCATTACCAATTGTCAAGATTTCATCCCCTAAGCCAACATCTTCACTACCATGTTCCAATAATTCTGTATCGACGAGTGACTGCAAGCAAAATGGTTTAATGTTAATTTCTCTCGCAACATTTACCCTACCACAATCTAACAGTGCAGAATGTAAAGATAAAAGTTTTCCACTTGGTACATATGCTAGAATAGACTTTTGTGGGAAAACGAGGGTACGAAGATCTTAAGAAGACCAAACTTAGGGGGTTTGATTGGACAAAAGCGTTAATATGCCAACTCCAATGAAATTTGAATTCAATTCAAGAAAGGCAAATTATATTCACAAGAAAGACAGACGAATGCAAACTAATTTGACTTCAATTCAAGGATGAAGAAAACTGTTCTTTCTCATTTGCAAATTTTCCAAATGGTTCATTTCTTTACGAATTTATGTGCATTAATCAAAAGGAAATGTATCAGCATTGTTTTCCTTTACAACTGTACAAGTTTCAGAGGAACGAAAACACCAACCTGAAGTTCGCGTTCACAGATTTTAAGTCTATCAGTGTAATCTTTTACTTGCATAAATGATTTATGTAGCTGCAAATAATTTAAACAACATGCATTAGCTCCATTTGATGGCTATTTGTCAAGCAGAGTTTACTAACAACAAATCCTAGAGATTGAAAATACCTTGGTTAGCTTCAACTTCTGGTGTGAAGAGTTCTTCTTTGCATTTATCAAGGCATCCTCCAATTTCTGCATGAACAGATTCTCAGTATGACGCACCGCGTTTAGCATGTAAAACCAAAAGAGTTGCAGTAAAATAACATTCAGATTACAGTCAAAGACCGCACAAGATAAAAAAATGACCTTTAACCAATAAGAAAAAGTACCTTAGATTTCTTCTGTAAATCCAAAACAAGTTTCTCCTTCTCCTCTAAGCTCTCCTCCATCTGAATAGTCTGACATCATGCAATAAAACTTACTCTCCTAAAAGGCAGTACAAGACTTCATGCATTTGAAAGTATGTTGAACAACCAGAAAATGTGCCTCTTGCTTATTGACATCTAAATGACTACTGGATGCTGCCTTGGGTGTTTCTGAATAATCAAAGAAATAAGGGTAAATTCTTATGGGGAGACAAACCTCATTTTTTATTTCTTCAATCTTTTGCATGGATCTCTCAAGCTGTTCTTTTACCTAATGTTTTTAACAGAACATATGAAAGCAAAGAAACTCCTTAGTTAAGATGACAAAAACTTACAAATGCATGGCACTATCCTAGCAAGAAAAGCTAAAAAAGCTGAACTTGCCTGAACATTGTAATCATCACTTGGATGAGATATGCGGTCCCGACTTTGTCGGTCAACTGTACTTGAACTGCAGGAAAGCAACGAAAACATAGTGAAGAAAGGTCTAGTTCTTATTGGAGCAATAAAAGTCTGTTTAATTGAATTTGCGTGATCATCTCCCAAGAAACACGATTGCTACTGAACTGATAACGTGATACTGTAATGATAACCAACAATTAGAAATAAGAAGGGTATCTTACCCGTTCCATCTCCTTGACTGGTCATCCCTATCCTTGTCACTGATGCTATCATGGCTTTTGGTTTTGTCCATCTCCCTATCTCGTTCAGACTCCAAAGCTCCATCTCTTTCCCAACCCTGATCGCGGTTCCTGCTCTGTCCTTGCTCGTTATCTTCCGCATCCCTGTCCCGATGATGATCTCTATGCAAAAAATGGTCCCCTGCGTGATCATAATCGTGTTCCCTCTCATACCGTCTGTCCCGCTCTTCACCATCATCATCAAGGGACCTGTCACGGTCACGCTCCCTGGACCGATCACTGAATCTATCCTTATACCGGTCCTCCCTATCCCGATCAAAATCCCTCTCATGGTATCTAACCCTATCCCAATTCCTCCCCCTCTCAGCATTCCACCGGAAACTCTCCCTCTCTCTCCCAAAACTCAATCTTCTACCTCTACTCCTCACTTCATTTACTCTGATCACTCTTCCATCAACAGTCTAATTCAAATAAAGCACCAAAATTCACTCAATAATATAAGATAACAAACCAATCAAAAAACCCCTAATTACAAACGTGTTCAATCAAATGGAAGAAGAAAGCAAAAATTACTTACCCTCCCATCCATCTCATTGATGGCGAGAATCGCTGACCGGGGATTCCTGAAAGTGACAAAGCCATAGCATTTTCCGCGCGTCGAAGCGTCGTTGATAATCTGCAACAAGAAGAAGCAGATGAGGGGGAGAAAATCCCAAATGCTAAAGAACCCTACAAAGTAAAATAAAAAATAAAAAATAGCGGCAAATGGAGGGAGGAGGAGGGATCTGACCTTAACGGCAATGACGTTTCCGTACAGCTCGAAGACTCTGAGGACGGTTTCCTCGGTGGCGTCGTACGGAAGGCCGCCGACGTAGACGGAGCTCTCGTCGTCTATCGTCATCTCTCTCAGTCTTCAAGTTCTAAATTCTTTTCTTTCAGCGGAGCTCTTAGAAGAAGGACGTGCCTTTTGGACTTTGGACCCGGAGGACACTCTCTCCCTTTGGGCCTGCCCATTCAAATTGTTGACTCAAAGTCCTGAAGCAAATTGGGTTTGAGGCCCGTTACTTTTATGGAATTTCGTAGCGTGTTTAATTACTTGGAATGAGAGAAGACGTAAATTGACGAATACAGGAATAGGGGAGAAACAGAATGAGAATTGGCTCAACTACGTCCCTTTAGTATATGTGTTAACGATCAAAACTTATTTGTTAGCAAATTAGAACAATTAGCTCTTGATGAGCCAGATTTTAAAGTTATGAAATAATGGAATCAAGATTTTAAGTGGTTCACCTCTCAAAACTAAGATACATCCACTGTAATGCTCGGAATATATAAATTCAAAGATTACAGTAGGGGATTGGCTATGGTCTTATCCTTTTTCTCACTGCTCGTCCGACCCATTATAAAAGGTACCTACCCTCTTATAGAGGCCCTTAGCGAGCCCAAAAAGTTTCGGACTCACCTACTTTACTACTACGGTATTAAATGAGATACCCACTAAACTGGCGAGCTGGCTATTTTTTCGTTCATAAGTCGATATGTGGCGGTGAAGCGGTAGTCGTTTAGTCGGGATTACATGTTTTATGGGCCAACGCGTATCAAGCACTAAGCATGCCCTTGACTAGTCAACTGTGTTGCTTTCGAGCAATGATCTCACAACCTTTATGTCCTGTTCTAGGCTCTTGTCTTTGATGGTGACCGACACTTAGCCTGGGTTGATGTTTGAGTAGACTTGTTCTTAGAGCCATGTGCTATAAAGCTGTCTGTTTGTCTACATACCTTTGTTAGTCGAATAGTGCTTTATGCTACTTAGTCAAGCCAGACTGGTGAACTATCGGCTATAGCGCTCAGAAATACTCTTCCTAATTCCATTAGGCTTTGAACTTCCATTCCTTCTTTGGACCTTGATCTTTCTTGGGCTTTACTCGGTCTTTTTCCATGCCTATACTTTTTTGAAGGTCGAAAAGGACCCTACGTTAACAATATGCTTCCTAGTTTTTCAAGTATTGAAATGATGAATTTTGAATGTGGGAGTGATATGTTTTAAAACGAACAGGAACTCATGAATCTGATCATAATCAGCACCTATGTGTTAGTAGATACAAGAAAATTCATCAATGGTAACATTTCAATACCCATTCCAATCAATTTTTTCCAAGTAAACGGTCATTATATGTTGTTAGATTTTTGATAATTTAGTCTAAAGTTGAGCATCCACATCATGGAAAATTCATTGTGGGACCCTAGTGTTGATAGCTCATGATCATAATCATGCAGGGAAATGCTAAAACGACTCTCTTAAATTAGAAATTTTTGTGGACTCTCTGTCACTTCACAGTTCAAATCGTACCAACATTAAAACATTGTTATAAAAACATGAGATGACAGAAAGTCCATAAATAGTCTCCTTAACACTTCTCAATCATATAATACGACTCTTAATACAACTTCTTAATCTATTCAACTCTTGATTTTGTAAACATTTAATAATAAACCATGATACGCGTTTTCGATAAATGAACGTACGATTAACAGGAGAATCAACCGTCGACATCGGGGCGAATTCAACGTGGGACCCACACGTCGATGGCACATGATCGTATGATGTGGTCCTTAACTCCAAGAGTCGTCCTCCTCGCCCAAAAGTATTGACCTCAGAAAGATGAGAAGATTATGGTTACACAGATAGGGAAGGTTATATCGTTGTCAACACGTGGGAGGTGACTGACACGTGAATATCCTGCCCCTCCCAACCCCCCTCCTGGTTTGGGTTACGTTTTGTGGTCCTTCTGAAAAGAAATATATAGTGTGGGCCCAACTTTGGCCCACTTTTTCCACAACTTGCTCTGAAGGTTCCGTAACGGGGATCACGTGAAGACATAAAAACAGGCCAAGTTGGTGGGCCTTTAAGGTTCTAGGACGACGCACCCGCCCGTTTTTAACGGTTCTCAACGACTCGGCCAACGGCTCTGCTATCCCAACTCCTCCAATTTTTCCTTTTTTCTTGAAATATTTAAAGATACAGTTAAACTTCTAAAATTCATGAATTTACTTACTTTTTTTCTGAAAAATAAATTGTAAATTATTCTAGTTTATGAGCAATTAAATCAAGCAAAAGCATTATCTATCAAGTAATTATTAATTTATATATTCGGGAGACCTATCTGCATTGTTTATAATATATTATCTAATTAATTTAGCAACTTTTTACTTTATCATGTATTCCCAAGTCGGGACCGGTTGAGAATTTTATCTAACCGAAGTTATTAATTTATCGGGTGTTAAATTATCGAGGTTCTAATGTATATATATTTTATCTTTGATTCTAACATTTTTGTTAGTTGACATAAGAGCATCTTCGATGGATTAATTACTCTCAATTTTTTTGTTGTACAAGTTTTATCTTAAATTATGCATAGAATCTAACTTGGATTTTAAAAAAGAGCATGTTATTTTAACTAACTTGACTAAGTTCGTGTCTACAACCACTCTCGATTATTCAAGAGAGAACGTTTTTGCCAAAAAATAAAAGGAAAACTAATGAAAAGGGCTTGAAAACTTTGAGTTTTAATTATAAGGACAAAATAAAGGGTAAAGTGAATAGTACCAAGATTGACTTTTTAGTGTAAAAATGTGGTTTTTCGTTAAAGTGAACAGTACCGGGTGTTTTTCGTTAAAGTTCCCAAAAATAAAAGGAAACTTTAACGAAAAGCTCTCGGTACTATTTATTTTAACGAAAAATCACATATTTACACTAAAAAATTCATCATGTTACTATTCATTTTACCCTTTATTTTGTACTTATCGTTAAAACTCAAAGTTTTCATGTCATTTTCATTAGTTTTCCTAAAATAAAATCTATTGCTAGAGTAGTGTAATGATTCATAACAATATTTACAATATCTCACGTTGAAAATGAAAGTATTTTGTACGTACTCAAGAACTTCCGCCTATCTACTCATTAACAATTCGTTTCGAGCTGAATGCTCACGTTTTAACACAACATTCAAATTCACACATGCAATAATGTTCATCTAATTGTTGGAGTACTCAAGAATATTATCTACCTAAACCTAATCAAAATATCAGAAGAATGAATTTAGGTCGTTGTATTTATGAGTCAGCAGAGAGGGGGCCATTAGTCTTTAAACATGGAGAGGTGGCAAAAGAGGCATATCGAGGAAATATTTTTCAGTATGCCAGAAACACGGTCATATACATCAAATGTCATCATATAACTGAAATGTATAATAATATATAATGTACTGCCACGTATTCTGAACACATTAAAAAATCTTTTCAAATCGAGGACACTGGTGTCGTGTGAGGCAGGCAATATTGAGCCCCTCTTGACAAATTATTACGTCCGGAGGGTCCCGTTTTGTGCCTTGTTTTCCCGTTCTTAGCAAACCCACATGCTGCCCATCTGCATTATTAATCAAAAAACCTCACAACTACGTCGTCCTTTGGAATGCCAATTGCAATTGGGGATCGATCATCGATCTCTCTCTATATATCCCTTGGTTTTGTGCATGCGTCGATCCATTTTTTTATTATCTTTTGATAAAAATCACAATCAACGGTTCAAATCAACCCCAACAACTCAATTGAGAAGGTAGAGATGGTGTTTCTGCATTTATGTTTCTATGCGTCAAAAGTTGGTTCCCCCCATGCTATTTTCATTTTATTGCACAACTTATTAGCTCAATTCAATGATGGGATTGTATCGTTCATGGCCCCATTGACGCTCCACCATGCTCCCCATTCCTATTTCCCTTTGCTTCGATGGAAGATCGAGTCATTCACAGGTTTAACGACACTCTATCGTTACTTTCTTAAAAGATATCTAAAATTCAAATCTAATGAATAAACAATAGTTGAAACCACTCAAATTGAATTCGCCGGTTCCCATCTACTCATTGCACTAGTTCACCTCACACAAACCAAGGGATCTTATTTCTCTTTCAAACAAACCAAGAACTCGAATTTGTTGACCCTTAAGCTCCGAACATTAAAATCCAGAAAAGATCCAATCTGGACAGTCGAGTGACAATAAGTCAATTATTAATTTGTTTAGTTTATCAACGCCCAATCTTTTTTTTTTCTTCAAAAAAAATCTTAAGTTCAAATCTAATAATGACCGTCATTAAAAAAAAAAAATTTCTCGATATAACATGAGATACCACTTTACTTAACTCATCCACCTCACTCTCTCCTTCCCTTTTCACTTTTTTGATAGGCATCGATCACATCTCGATCAATGATGGGAAAATGGCATCGAAATTCCACTTGTGATTGTGGTTACTTCCTTTAAGTTTCGCATGTGCAAGTGTAAAGTAGACATCTCTATTCCATTTCCATTTCCATTCACGTGGGGATACCCAAAAAGAATTTGTCTCCACCCTTTCCACGTATTAGATAACGTGTTAAATCCTCTATTTACTATTAATAACCCTTGAAAACGACATCGTTTCATTTATTTTGCATATATATATATATATACAGGCCTTTTAACCATAGAGATTCTTATTTTATTTTTTTAAAATGAGGCATCATTTTAATTGTTGGATTGACTTTAATGAAATTGTGTGTTTGAAATTAAACCACATGCTACACAATCTCAACCACACAATTTCATTAAAATCAAATCCAACGGTTAAGAAGATTTTTCTATTTTTTGAGAAAAATGAGGATGTCTCTTGTTAAACGATTCTTTTATATATATATATATATATATATATATATATATATATGTATATATTTAGGGTTCGTTTGATTTGACAAAACATAAATACGACTTTCGTTTTTCTACAGCGTACTGCATATTACGCGTAAACCTTATCCAGTGATCAGTTCTGATGTAACCTTTGTACTCAATCCGAGCTAGTTGTACGTTGACGATTATATTAACAATGAAATAATAATGTGAATTAAGAAACAAAACTAGTTTA